ACAATTATTTGTCACAACCTCTCTTTCCACTATGTACAAATTATCTTCGTATACATATATGTTAGTTTGTTTTGTTCTGTCCTGTCTTTGTTGGTAGTTTTGTTGTCTCGTTGTTCCTGTTCTTTTTCTTTTTCTCTTTCTTTTTTGTTTCGTTCTTATCTTTTGGCATGTAGTAGAAGATATATGGAACCGAATAGTTTTTTTAGTTTTGGTAGGTTGTAATTTTTTTAAAGAGTGGTCGTAATAAAAGTATAATATACATACACTACTTATTATAAAGCACACTTACAATAACCTCTCAAGGACTTATAAGTAAAGGAAATATAAGTCTCTCACACACTCTTTTAGCGATAAAAGTGCCATGCATTCGACGGATCACAGATTTTATACCGTAATAACGCGTTAACAGATTCTGTTCCGTTTTACGTCATAAAATGGTTAAAATAGCTCGCTTGAACGGAATATCTTATGTCTTACATTGCAGGACGTTAATTCTTCATAAGTAACGCGTCAAAATGTTTTGTTGACAAAGAAGGAGGTACAATAAGAACGAGACTCGATCTGATTTCAAATTTTCTCGAAAGCTGTCTGGAATGAAAGAGCATGTGTTCAAATTGTTCAAAGCTGATCGATTTTCTTACATACATCAACTTCGAAGGGAAACCTGGCTTCTGGAACACCATAAAAACACATGCTCTTCCATTTCAGACAGCTGTCGAGAAAATTTGAAATCAGATCGAGTCTCGTTCTTATTGCACCGCCTTCTTTGTCAATACACATTTTTTTAATATGTTGTTATAACTCATAGATACCGTATGCGTTATCATTCTTGTTCTTCCCCAACAGGTAAGAGTGTTGCATATTTTCTTTTGTTTTGCTTTGCACCGAAATTCTTCGTTTTCTTCTAAAAATTGATTCTCCAAATTATTCCCCTTGGTAGTAGAGCCCTGTATAGCTACTAAAAGAAGTCAACATCATTTTGAATACCTACATGCCCTACAACCTACTCTATCTCCATATCAAGCCTGATAGGAATAGAGTGAAAATCAGTTTAGCTAGATTCTATTTTCGTGCTTATGAAAATGGTGAATGAATAGGAAATTTGGTGTTGACTTGTTGAAAGGATGTAGTGCGATTAATTGGACTTCACACATAAATTCCAAGTAAAAATAATAAGCTTGTCAAAATCCTGTATTAAGTACATATTCAAATATCACGATTTGTCATGGTTAAAAAAAGCATTAAGCTATAAGGACATAGCTGTTTTTGACCTTGTTCGTGGGGAATGTAGCTGAGCATATGACGATGTTTTTACGCAAGTTTGACTTTGAAACACAGATAGACGACCAAGTTATTGTAAATTACTGTAAGACTTTTTTGTGCAATGTTAAACGTAAGCATCCACTAACTAAAACAGAAACCTTGTACTGTAGAGGAAACGTGGTGTACATAAAAATACTCGCTAAACATACGCGCACGTAAAAGCCGATACAATTAACCGTTAAAAACGTAATCGATAACAGGGGTGAAGTAAATTTCTCACGTCTTGCAGAACATCAAATTCTGCACAAATTCTTTAAAGATTTTGCTTCTTGAAATTTCTTGATTAAGATTTACTGCGGATCCGGGTCTGGCATATCTTGAAAATTCTGTAGCAAAATCTTGAAAAGATCTGGGACGTTTTCTGAACTCATTAATGTAATTACTAATTAGGAAAATTAGTTTCATATTTGGACAAGGTATGTGAGAGAACGATAACTACAAGAATTTTACACTTAATGATATTCTTTGTGGTACTATATTATAGAGGACCTGATCTTGAATTCTGTTGGTCTACTAGATGCACAGATGTATAAATCATACTTGTTGTTGCCTCTATTACCGTTTTTGTTTTGCAGTGTCTATTATCATGGGATATATATATATACAAGGTAACGCTCGTCTCCACTCGCTCGGTCCCTTAACTTGATTAATTGATCTGCGTCCGATTAAATTGAATCTGCGCAAGCGAACGTCCTTTGGTGACTTTTAAATCGAACACAATGCTCACGCCTCCCTTCGTTCGGCGCTCGCTGGGGGCCTAAATAAGGCATCTTCTGGATTTTTGTTCATTTTTTATGTATAAGGTTCGTCGTCTGATATTAATATATAAATCAAGAATCTCTAGAGGTCTAAACATAATTCTGAATTCAAAACAATGCTCACGCTTCCCTTCTGTCGGCGTTCGCAACCAGTATAGATGAGAAACGCTATGAACTTCTTTGATTCCACCAAAAAACCATCTAATGTAATATAAAGTTAAAAGGCTTTCTGCACACCCTCTGCAGACCCCAAGGAGGTTGGAAGTACTTCTGATCGATTCGTTATAATAGATTATCTATACACTATCAATTTTATTACCCGTATACCACTTTTTTTGTATTGTCATAGTTGACTGCTATCTGGCGACATCTACCACCGGCCCACAGAAAACGGTTGCTGAGCTGTTCACTTCTTTGCATCAGTAAATATTTCAGGTGATCTCTTTGAATATTTTCTCTCTTATGTAAAAAATAATTTTCTACTGTTGTCTCTTGTGATTCGCTTATCCATAGAATATCTGACAGCATTTTGCGCACACACACAGACAACTATTTTATAAGACCCTAGACTAAAGTCAAGGGAATAATCTGCACTGTAAAAAGATTGAGAAATCTTCAGGTTCGTTACCGAAGTAACGTTCGACTGAACAGCTTTGGTATTGTCTGAACAGTACCGTAACAGCTGTGAATTTTGGCGTACTGCTGATACAATACAGTACTACTGAGTACCCTATACAATACAGTGGATAAAAATAAAAATAAATGAAAATAGCACCTAACCAGCCGAAAAACTATTCAAGATTTATACATATATAGAAAATCTGTCAAGATTCTGATATATGATATTTCCATTGCTCAGCAGTTGAGTTATGATGGAGAAAATGAGGAATTACGGACAAATTCTGACTTTTTCGGCTCTTATTTAGCAAAAATCAATTTTCTCTGCAATGGAACAAAATTTTAAAAGAAGCGCGCCATACTTTTAAAGCTGAAGTTACAGCGAAACTAATGGTATCCAAACGAGGGCTGTAATCTTTGATACAAAAAACTAGATAGGTTCACAAAATCTGGTACCGTCATTCGAGAATACTACCTTTGGAGATCCGTATTGGACAGCCTTTTTACTTTTAACGTTATCAGACTACGTTTTCTTATTCGGTTTTTGGCGCAGAATAAGAAAAAAAATAATTTGAAACTTACATACTACTACGCAGCGCGAAAATTCTCGAAAAACGAATGTGAGCGATTTCAAGTTTTTCGATTTTCGGCATGAAAACAATCTTTTGAGACTTTAAAAGATATGAAATTTGTTGGTAGAGCAGTTGGAAATAAGTATTTGTAAATCGAATATAGAACTGCTATGAATTACATTTGGATGTTGACTCGCCATACTCAGAGCGAATATTAATTAAATTCATAACACTTCTATATTTAAAAAATATATTTTCTTACTCAGCTCAACGAGCTCTATCGAATGATGTATAATAAGTTCAAAAAATTTTGCTCAACTTTTGCATTACGCGCACCTTAGGCAAAATAAATCATGTTCTCTCTTGCATCGGGAGCAGCTAAGATATATATATTCGTGATCAGCGTCAGATTCTCTACAAGACAGGCTAGGTCTCGCCTCTTTCCTAGGGGGCTCACTCAAACATGTTCCCTCGTAAGTTATAGTTCAGTTAAAAACAATTATCTGAAAAAAATGCATAAAACAACACATATCAGTCGAGGACATCCTAAACGTTGTTTTTTCAAAAAAGGGTGTCTAAAGACCCTCTGGAAAACTCTAAACATCTTCAAAGTATGTTCATTCACTGTGTCATCATCGCTTACCTATTTGAGAAAATTTTCACCAAATTGCAGGTAACAATAGACATTTTATTTAAAAATGGCCTTGCGGCCTTTCCTGTGCTAACAGTATTAAAAATATTTTTCTCAACAATGAAAAGAATGAAGAAGTGCGCGGGACCTGGACCGTGCTGCACACCTCTAATGGCGACTGTGACTGATCAAAATAGTTGTGTAGTACGGGGATAATCTTGGAATTGAGGAACAGCAACATGACGACGGACAGACCGGAGATTATTTTGACGACGTGGTCCCTAAGAATGAAAGGACTCTCATTTAGTCCTATCCCATGAGGTGTTTTATCGATTGAAACAGTGTCTAAACGCGTGTAAACGACGAAATAACAGAAACAAACCAAACGCGACTTTTAACCCGTTAGTCGACATACGAAACGCGTTTCAACCATCGATTGAATGCGTTTCTGTTATTTCGTCGTTTACACGCCGTTGGATACCGTTTCAATTGATAAAAGAAGTCTTATGAGTATATTTTGAAGCATATTTTAGAAGGCTGTTGTGATTAAATTGTGAACAAAAGAAACGAATCGTTGTCATGCAAGGAGTGAATTGAAAAGTAAAGAAGGAATTGGAAAGCAAAGAAGAATAAGACACTTCGTTTTCGCAACATTTTACAATAGCATAAACAAACACACGCTCATATTGTTGTTTAAACCGGAATAACGGATTACAGTGCTGAATTATGGCGGACTTGTTATTTGTTCCATTTATTACACTGATTGGTTTAATTGTGTATTTCATTCGAGTTAATAGTAGAAAAACTGATGACGTAGTTCCAATTATATCAACTTTTCAGCTGATCATTCGATATGCATACCAATTTATGAAAAATCCAATCGAGATGATTCTTCTGATGCGAGAGAAATATGGGACAACATTTAAAATTCGTCTTTTTTCAGAAACAGTGACATTTGTTACTGATTCACAGCATTGGACTCAGATACACCGAAACGCAAATTTGCTGTTGCCGGTAGAGGATGTGGCCAAAGCATTTGATGCAAGTGCAGTTAGTATAGGTAATAAATATCTCTTACTTTGCACATTCAGCATACATATGTATGTCGTTATTGGTTTAGGTCTCTTCGAGACGAATGATCTTACTCATGAATATGTTCAATATTTACAAGGGAAGGAGTTAAAACAATTAACGCTGACGCTAGCGCAGCATATTCGTCAAGCGCTTGTGAATAAAGGCCGTGAACATATGCACTCGGAGTGGATCGAATGCGGCCTATTTGAACTCTCGCACATGCTGTTATTTGAATCATCAATCAAAACATTATATGGTGACATTGATCCATTATCGTTCGAGCGCGAATACCGGATATTCGATTCCAATATACACGTTCTCATGTATCCGTATCCAACATTTATCTTTAAACAATTGTATTCTTCACTGATCAAAGCGAAACAGTTCCTAATTAAACAACTTTATGAAAGACAACACCATCCCCACGATCAAGACCAACTCGATCGAACAAGAAGTTTATTTGTTAAATTTATGAATGATCTAATGTGTAAATATCCCGAACAGACAGTCTCTATTAATGACATTGGTAGTTTCAACTTAGCCCTCTTGTGGTCGGCAATTGGAAATACAATACCAGCTGTCTATTGGGCACTCTTCTATTTACTGACTGGTCCAACAGCAACAATCGATATAATAAAGAAAGAAATTCAACAACACCTTTCTTTGTTCATCAGACTCGATATTCCTGATGAAAACAATGATTATCAGCTAGATCAATTAGATAAATGTGTTCATCTGGATAGTGCAATTGATGAAACATTACGTCTAGTAGCAACAGCTATGATACTAAGAAGATGCTCGAAGGACACTAAAATTACATTAGATGCCGAACGAACACTGTTGATAAAGAAAAATGAAGCGATTGTCCTATTTCCGTGTGCATCCCATTATGATTCGCGAATATTCCATAATCCATTTCAATATAAACATGATCGATTTTTGCCAGCGAATTTGAATGTCGAGCAAAAACGCTCATTTCTTCCATTTGGTGGTGGTAAATTTATATGTCCTGGCAGATCCATGGCCAAGAATACAATTAAGATTTCGGTTGCATTTGTCTTGCAACACCTTAACATTGAGTTCTTAAATAGTGACATCCGTACACCGCCGTTGGCGAAAGAGAAAATACCCGATTTTCAAAACAGTCGAATTGGATACGGGATTGCACCGCCAAGAGAGGAGCGTCGAATTCGCTATAGTTTCAAACAGTAGGAACGTATATTTGACTGTTTTATGATTGAAACTTGAAATAAAAGCAAAATACCCCAAACAAAAGGTTAAATTGGAAATGCTACCTTTACAGGAGAAAACAAGCAATATGCGACTGTATGAAAGATAGAAAGAAAGAAAAAGATCATGAGCGAGAGGCGTGATCTCTCACGCTTATCTATCTTTCAAAGACTAGGCTGCCGTTCTCTGAAAATTCTATGATTTGAATGGCTATTAGTTCAAATGTTACTTATAGGTTTATATCGATAAGCAAAATGGCTATAGAAAAAAAAACACTTTTCATGTCACTCAGCTCGAATGGGTCAAAGATGAGCCATGTTGTCCTGAAGAATGTTGCTCTCAGATCTCTAATCAAAAATTTTTAAACACTTTTCCGCAAATAGGTGACGCGCATAGAAGTATATATCAATCACCCAAAACACAAGAATAATCAACCTGTGCAAATCAAAAAAATCTTCGAAAAAATCAGATTTTTTCATTTTTCTGCAAATCCACTGTTTTTAGACTCAAATATCTTAGCCAAGGCGTGATGAAAAACAAGTTATCTTTTACGAATCTATAGCTTATTGAATCCTCCACATAATGTTCATAAAGCTTCTTGATTTGATGCTTTGTTACGCCAATACATCATTTCTACGAATGGATCGAAAATGGCTCAAGCGGGGGTAAACGGTTAAGTCATCTTTTAAAGATAAGCATGTACTGTATCTATCAGTAGGTGCAAGGTCTATTATCAATATTTCTTCCTCAAACGACTTTTTCTAACAAATCCGCTGGCAACTAAAAACTCATGATTAAGGATATGAAGTATGTCTCGTCTGAGTAGGTTTTAACAGTATATTTCTGTTTTTAAGTGGCTTCGTAATGTATATAACAGATATTCAGTGATACAGAGTTTTCCGAATTAACTGAACAAAAACTGGATCAGTTTGTATTTTCAAGTATAATTTATGATCAGTCTGACGAATATTTTTGAGTTATACGCTAGTACAAAGGAGTGCACATAAAATACCTTTTCAAATCTCAATGTATTTCAATTTCTACGTTTGCTGTTAGCAGAAGAAGAAAAAAGTTGCATAATATTAAGAAAGTCGATGAAGCAGTGAAGAAAAATTCCATAATATTGAAAGAAAACTAAATAAATCAAAGTTGAGATTTACAGAGTTATTAATGACGATTAATAACGATAATCTTTCACTACGTAAATGACGTTCGTTTCGAACTTCAACGGGTAAACATCGCCTGTTTTTCTTGAATAGAAGTGAACCGTTAGTTATTCTCGTATTACTGATCAAGGCTCGAAAGTTCACTAGAACCAGGTACGAGTAAAGGTTCATTCTGGTTAAATTTAACTTTGTAATATAATAGATTCCACCACTTAAAACCAATTTTCCGTTTCAATTGCGATGAAAACACGCTGTGGGAAGATTTTACTGATTAATTCGAGCATTCCGTCATCAATGAAACTAAACAAAGCTTTAACATCTGAAATATCTTTGTATTATTAGCTTCCATAAACGTAATATGATCAAATAACAAAGTGATGCGATGAAAAGTCAAAGAGTTGCGAATCGTGATACAAAATAATAAACTAACTTTGATTTTTATGTTAGAATCAGATAAGATACTTCTCTATCGGCAATACGTTCTATCACATGCCTTCTTCAACCATCATATGGTTTCGAGTTAAAGGTATGTCCCAGTCCCATGAACGAAGAGTTTGTTTTTCCGTTCCTGTGGACTTTAGCGGTTTTCACAAATATTTGAACTTTTAACAAAGTGTATCAGCACTACAGTGATTCCCTCTAAACTTGAGAATAGCACTATTGCGATGAGATTATTAATTGACGACTTTTAGAATTTTTTCTCGTAAGAAGTCGTGCTAAAACACCGCAGAAACTAAGAAATTTTTAAGGTTCAGGCTATTTTCAAAACATATGTCTTTTCTAATCGAGTAAAAAGTTTTCTGTTCTAGTGTCGCAAATAGTTCCGCGGGACATGGACCGTGCCGCATATCTCTAACGGCGACTGATCGAAATTGTAGTGGAACACGGCGATAATCTTGGAATTCAGGCAGTGCGGAGTCATGACTTATATCCCGATCGGGATTTATAGCCCAATCGGGATAATCGTATAGGCCGATCGGGATAAATATCCCGTTCGGGATATAAGTCATGACTCCGCACTGTCAGGAACAGCGAAATTAAACAACAAAGGAATAGCGAAATGACGACGGGCAGACTGGAATTTATTTTTACGTGGTCCCTAAGAATGAAAAGACTCCCATTTGATTCTGTCTCATGAGAGATATTTTTATCGATTGAAACAGTGTCGGTATACGAAATGTGTTTCTGTTCTTTCGTCGTTTACACGCGGTTAGACACCGTTTTAATCGATAAAAGAAGCCTTATGAGTATATTTTGAGGCGTATTTTAGAAGGCTGTTGTGATTAAATTGTGAACAAAAGAAACGAATCGTTGTCATGCAAGGAGTGAATTGAAAAGTAAAGAAGGAATTGGAAAGCAAAGAAGAATAAGACACTTCGTTTTCGCAAC